ATATAAACACACCATTTACCATCGTAGTTATCTGTCAACCCTCCCATCCGTAATTATAACTGGAAATAAAAAACACGGAATTTTTATGATTTATTGTATTTGAAGTTTTGTAGGACAATACGGCCATAAAGATCCGTGGATTCAGAAAATCTCCAGCGCCCTACTTAGGCACATAGCCAGTGAAAAAACAGGCTTATATAATATCATTTTAGATTTCATACTCCAAATGTCTCTAAGTTAATTAAGTATAGTATTCACATTCTTGGGAAAGCAGCCGAAATATCCAGATACCAGATAACGTATAACCAATATTGTATCCTGTTTTTGTTGTACAAGTTAGTCATCAAAATGTCGTGAGCAGAAAATCATCCAATGAATAAACTTTTTTATCACCCTCTAATATTATATTAGATTTTATATCCATATCAAGCCAAATATAACGGAAGGCACTTAAGGGAGGGTAAACAAAGTTGGAATTTCCGTTAGGCAAACATAGTTTAATCTTTGAATGCAGAAAGTAGGAATTAATACAAGGCCTACCTTATCTGAGAATCGAATATTTTTCCAAGATGTATCTGACACAAAGCCGAAGCCGGCTAGCAGAGCATCTATGTAAACTCCATCAAAGCAATAACCAGCAGCTGATTCCGGATTTTTTTCACTTTTTTGAAGCTATTTGGTAGTTTGGTTGAAAAGAAAACATTAAAGAGGCACATTATTAATTAACTCTGAAGCGAAAATGCATGGATGCTAGGGAATAAAGCATCGATAGATAGATCACAATTAATAAAAATGGCAAGTTTGAACTCAAAGTGAGATGGAATTTAAGGAATTGCCGGATGCTCAGATTACAAGAACTATAAAGTTATATGGAAAGAAGACATATAAACACCTTTAATCCATTTCTAAATAGAATATTTATGGTTGTAATAGCTGCCTAAACAGAAAAATCTCAAAATATAATAACAAACTAACAGATCTAGGGTGACTAGAGTCCTTATTCAAGATATATTGCTAGCTTCAAAAACTTAAGTATACTGAATATCAGTAGCGAAATGGTTTAGAGTAGCAAATATGAGTACGCTTCATCGACAATTCCACTAAAATTTGATATAGGAGAGGCCTGGCTTTCCTTGAAAATCTCGTTTGCCCTTTGACCCATTGACACGCGTGCCAGTATGGCGTAAAGGAAACATGTAGAAGAACAACGCGCATGACCAGGAATCGATTCTCGTTGAGGGTGCTGGTGAGAACCAGGCGAGCTCGAAAGTGTAGTTCATCCTGGATGATAGCACCTTTTAGGAGGCGAGGTTAAGTTAGATTCAGTGGCATCATGAAGCCAGCTCATATCATTGTGGCAAAATTCAGTATCAGTCCCTCATAAATTTACATAACTTTGACTGACTATAATTCTTATTTAAGATCGGGTAGACGGATATGGATGCGATTCAAGAAGATATAAAATTTCCATATAACCAATACATCAGTTATTCATATCCCAGTGTAGGCTATTGTATTTGGTCAATATCTGAATAAATGGTATTGAACTTTCATTATTTCTAGCCAAACTGATAGCTAAAAGTGACCTACTAGCAGCAGTCAAGCAAGTTGTTGAGATTGATAGCACAAATATGGATCCAACAATAAGTATGAGTTAAAAGAAGCTTGATTTTCACCTTAGGCCATAATTAGTAGATACAAGAATCAATCGACTTAGAGAGTGACACGGTTGCTTCTTGACCTACGAGAGACAAGAATAGAAGCTCTCTTCGTTTCATCGCGGCTAGATCAAACTTAACGACGAATTTGATAGTTAATTCAAGCAAAATAATTTATCAAGGAAAGTAAAATGAAAGCAGAAATTAAATTTCCCTAACTGAAGCAAACAATCCAAAGATTCAGGTCAAACTGGAAACAGGATGAACTCCTTCTTTCGTTTAATAAGCCAATCAGCTGATACTAAGAGAGTGAAGAAAATTACATAGCGCTTCATTCAAGATAACTTGCGAAAGACCATTTAGGATATCTTCATAATGTTATTCCCAGCTTCACTAAGCACATTTTGCGAATATTCTAAATACTCTCTTCAGTGACTCGATTACTAATTTAGTCAACACCTAATTACCTCAAAGTTAAACTATGCAAAGCTTTTAGAAAGGAAACTTTTCCATAAATTTTCATGGTTGAATCATACTACTTCTTCCTATAAAAGTAGAAATTATCCTATGTCCGCGCACACCTAGTCTTCCCTCCCTGTACTTTTTCAAAATAAAATGTTGCTGAATCATTTAAACACTTAGCCTTATCTTATCTTTCTTTAATAGTCACTTATCTTAATTAATCTGTCTGATAATTAAGACAGTATTTTTATGATCATATAGGCTCGGCAATGTTGTGAATTCAAGTGGAAAGGCAGATGCACAGATAAGACTTTATATAATTCCCTTACAATTAAATCTACGATTCCGACTCTAAAATAGGGTAAAACATGGACAGTGATGACGAAAAACGAGAAGGACAATTTCGAATATAATTTTGCTGCAGAATTGTCTACAAGAATAAAAACGTATATAAAATGACCGATTATTGAAAAAGTGAAGAATGAAAAACACGAGAGATCGAGAGGCGTAAGCTATTTAAGTTCATAGATCTTAAGTCTAGGTTAAGGAAGGATTTAGGGAGGGTTCTCACTTTGGATGATTTTCAAAAACTCCAGAGCATGACCGACCAGAGGTCACAGACGGTCCGGGATCTCATAAATAAGAGACATGATAAGAAATTGCTTAGCTATGGGATAATAAGAAAACACAAAACCAAGTCAACCCGTGCAAATGGTATTGGTTCTCCTTTGAAGGAATCAACTGTA